GGGGGCCCGGCAGGAAGCGGCGGCGCTGCCGAGCGGCAGCGGGCAGGGCAGCGCCGGACCGAGGGAGGGAAGGAGGGAGGGAGGGAGCCGCGGCGGCGGCGAGGAAGGAGGGGACGCGGCCGCTGCTGGCGCCTCCCCCGCGGCGGCGCGGCCCGCCCCGGCCCGGCCCCCCGAGCCCCGCAGCGCAACGCAGGCGGCGGGGTGCGGCCGCTCCCCTCGCCTCGCCCCCCGCGCCCCGCCCCGTCCCGCTCCCGCAGCCCGGCCCCGATCGCGGTCGATGGAGCGCCGACCCCTCGCTGCGGGGCCTTACCCGCGTGAGCCTGGCTGGCGTGGGCTGAAAGGCGTCGGGGCGAGCGGAAAGCCCGCCGTGGGTGCGGGACGAGGCCCGTAGCCTCACGATGAGGCCCAAGGTGTCTGTGGGTGATGTGTGATTGTGCTGCCGCCCAGCAGTCCCGGCAGACCTGTCTGTCCCGCTCTCGGCCTCTCCGCCTCGTTGGGAAGATGTCTGCTGCTGCTCTCGCGGCTTTCGGACGGCATCAATTCTCTTTTTAGGAACAGAAGTGAAAACTTGGAAAAACTGGAAGGACTGCGTGGCAGCAGCGTGGTGGAGGCGAGAGCCCCTGCAAGCTCCAAGGCCTGGAGGGCGCTTACCCTGAGGACAAGCAGTGCATCCTTCGGAGGTGGGACCAGGACCATGGCTGTGGTGGCCTCACCGTGTTAGGTTTTTGTGGCTGGGGGTTTCCATGCCTTTTTTTTTTTTTACTCTCCGAATGATGCTGGGATTACTCAGGCTCCCAACTTCCTCATTAAGTCCATGCTCAAGACCTCAGCGTTCAGCTGCAGCATCACATCCTGGATAGGTGTGAAGCAGTGAGCGTGGCATGTAGCTGCTGCCTCCCGCAGAGCCACAGCGGGGGGACAATCCCATCACTAAAATCCCATCTCTAAAAGATCACTGCAATGCACGCCCCGCTGAGCAGGACTAGGGTGTGTGCCTTGCTGTTGGTGCTGGGAGCTTGGCATTCTGGTCCCAGTGCTTAGGGTGTAATTTCACATCCCAGCGGTGAGCAGCCACCCTTTCCCAGGACACGGCAGCTGAAGGTTTACCCGATCTCATTTCTTGAGTCACTTCCTGTGGATTTGTGAGATCTCACATTTGATCTCTGCTTTCACTCACATGCTAATTTGGGTGCTGCTAAATGATCCATTCATCTCACTTCGCAACCCTCTTATGATTGCATATATGCTGTTCGTATGAGCGAGAATCGCATGGTATTCCAATTGTTCAGGTTACCACACTGGTTCCTCTGAGCAGCATTTGCAGAATGACTGCTTTTTTCTGAATGGAACAGTTCGCTGAGGGGAGACTTCTGCTCGTTGCACTGCTCATATACAGCCTTTCCCTGAGATGTGATCATTACAGCACCTCCAGTTAATTAGCCGTTGGTGGCAGAGCTTCAAGACTAATGATTTGCATGCTGTGAATATTCTGCACTTTATGTTTGAATGGGAAGTTCCTTGTGCAAGGCAATATTTTAGCTGTTGCAAAGAACTAGATGTGAGGACATTTGTGCAGAAAATAGTCTTCCCCACAGGCAGCTAAACCTTCAGCTGACACCGATTTGGGGTGAGAAGCACTAGGATTTGGCATAGCAGAGCTTGGAATGCAGGCTTGCCATTGCCTTCCTACGTTCTTGCCTTGACAACGTGTCTCCTCTGGGCTGGAGACTCCTACACTGCTGGTGTAGGAGCCCCCATATGAGCACTGGCACCTTGGTGACCGAAATGATTTCAGTGCCTTTTCCAACTGACTCACTCTGTGACTTGGAATAAGGGAAGAGTAGAAGTTGGCAGCCCTGAATCACGCCATCCTCCTGATGATTACCCCTCACCCGATCATTTTTCTGAGCAGCAGTCGTATTTTAAAGGCAACAATAATCATAGAAAAGGCCTCTGAGATCATCTAGTCCAACCACCAACCCATCCCCACCATGCCCACTATCCATGTCCCTCAGTGCCGCATCTACACCCATTTTTTTTTCCCCTGTTGCAGCAGCTCAGAATGTAAGAGCTGCAGAAATGATCTGCAATGACTGCACTCTTTCCAGGAGGTTATTTTGAGGGACACCAAGACCAAAACGAGTGAGCAGAAAGGGATCCTCGCTGCCAAACTGCTTTACCCTCAAAAACAAACCCACTGCTTTCTGAGTTCCTAAACCATGCACTCTCTTTCAGCCTCTCCCAAAATAAAAGCAAAGGTTGTTGAAATTTAGTGACTGTGAGTTAAAGGGGGCTTTTCAAAACCCTTGCTTTCCTACTGGGTTCTCTGTTGTCCTCTTAGCATTCAGCAGTAAATGATTTATAGCCCTCCTTTCATGCTGGTTTGGTGTTTCCTTTGTGTGCATAACTTCCTTTTGATAGAAGGGGATGATAACAAAACCCAAATTCTAATCTCTCGAGCACATGACACGCTGTCTTTGCGGTGCAGATAGCAGGAAACTGCTCTGATCTGGAGTTCAGTGCTTCAGCCTCCTTCCCACACCCCAAAATAGACCCGGTGAATTCAGAAAGCAGCACTACTAGGGTGGGCAGAGCTTTGCTTTCAGTTCTTCACTGCCCCTTTGCATCCAGAGACAAGTGTGCACAACTGCTCCATTGATGCGCTGGAAGTCCTGGGGTTAGTCCTAAAGTTGGGCTGTGGTGGCACCAGGGGAGGGCTGCCTTCCCTCGAGATGCCTTTCCACCCTTGGGAGCTTCCTGCGTTTATGCTACAGCTGTTTCCAGAGTCTCATGGGAGCCAAACAAACAGATGCCAAATGATCTGCCTTCAGAGAGCGCAGAAATGGGTGGATCTGGGGAAGACACTGGAGCTGTGTTCATCTATTCTTTCCATCCTGGGGGATTATTTGCGTTACGCCTGGATTCTTCAAAGGCTGACTTTGAGAAAGTTGCTTTCCTATAGCCAAACTTAGAAGGTCCTGGCTGAGTGCCTGAGCAGCTCTGGTGGGGGGTTCATCCCACCCAGGCCCATCTAGGGTGATACCCTCCATAGGTTATTGGCCAGGAGATAAGTTCCTAGGGAGCTCCACTTGCTATGGGATGACTCTGGTTGGGATAAGGCCACAGCACACAGTGAGGAGGCAGGGAAGGCAGCACAGCATCCCACAGAGAGCAGTACCTGGTTCTGCTATCCTCTGAGACACCTGCATCGCCGCTCCCGAGAATTCCCATGAAAAATAATCACAGGCTGCTTTTATGTCCTTGTAATCGTGAACACATTATGCTTCCCTGCCCACTTCTAAAGAGAAAAAGTAATTAGTCACCCCACACAAGTCTTTTGGGGTGGCACATGTGCTTTGGTATGTATTCCAGCTCTGCCTACATGGAATGGGGATGGACAGCCCTGCTCCCTGGTTGTCTGTTAGGTGCTGCCTTTTGCAGGAGCTGCTTGCAACCTCTTGCACTTACAGCCAGTGACATCTCCAGCAGCACTTGCTGGTGTGATGAACGAAGCCTGCATTTGCAAGTGCAGAGGATGGGAGCTTCAGACCAGCAAAGCAAAACAACTCAAAGCATGGGCCAGCAAAGTGAAATAACCAAGGCACTGGTGTGCCAAAGTAGCCAGCAAAGGGCTGCCTTCATTCTTCCTGCTGTTATATGCTTGTGCTAAAAGTGCAAATTGAAGTTCGTTCAGTTGAAGGGTTGTGGCAGAAGAATTATCCAGAATTTGCTGAAAAACTGCAGATGGAAGCTATTGTGGAAAGCAGGCTTTGTTTCCATCCAGGGAAGAATTTGGTTTATGTTTCAGGGATTGTGAAGGTGATCTCCCAGGTCAGTGGCAGGTAACCATTTGCCTTTGATTCTGTTTTTCTCTTGAAGTCTATAAACCCCAGCATTTACACTTAAATGGATGTGCTGAAAGCTGTGTTTAGGAAGAGAGAACTTCATCCCCTCCTGCACGTACTTCTGCCACGTGATTATTGTTTGGCTGCAGCTTTGCAAAGGATGGCCGGAGGGGTGGTTTGTGCAGGAGGAGGGAGGCACGTGGCTCCATTGCTGCCTGGTTCAGCCCCACTGCTGTCATTGGTTTTGCCTTCAATAGACCTATTGCAGTATCTGGGCCCCTCCTTTATTTTTCTCTCCTTGCTGCTTCTCTCCTTGCTGTTTCTCTCTTTCCAGATGTGTTCCTTCCATACCCTATATGGGCATACCCTAGTATATAGTGACTGCTTTCTGTACCAAAATTGTTGCTGCACTGTTTACTTTATTGCCACACAAAGTGCTCTGGATAGCGGTGACTTTGGAAAGCTGCTTATAAATCAGCTTCTGCTCTGAGGAGATTTGAGTCTTCTCTTGGGTCTTCTGGTTCCAAGGAAGTAATGAACGTGAAATCTCTCTTTCAAAACTTGAGCAAGCTGATCAAAGGCCTGGGAGATTGCAATCCAGATTTTGGCCCTTAAATTTCATCATACAGCATTTTCTCACTGTGGTCATAAACGGTACATAGCATCACGTAAGGTGTCATATGCTGATTGTCACTCTTATCTCCCTCAGTGTTTGGTAAGGACAAGAAGAGCAAGAGAAATGAGGGCACAAGGAGATGCCCAGGTGTCAGCAGCACCAGTCAGCCTTGGGAGCACCAGGAGTCATGTAGGACAAGAAAATCTCTGCTGGAGCCGGAGTCCCAATGCCCAACTG